CTATATATATATATATATATATATATATATACATATATGCTTCGGTACTTTTCCTTTGCAAAAACAACAAGAAAACGGTGTAACAGTGACAGATCTGTAAGCATTTACAGTCGATTCAATTCACTCGCATGATTTCAAACCCACACAGAGTAATGAACTTTAGTATTTGTACTTCATCCTCAGCGGTATTCGCAAGAACCATTTTGCAAGGAATCATCGTATTGAACACCGTCCACTAACTAGCAATTCATTAAAAATGCCATTCTTCAAGATTTTCGAAACCTTTAAATTCCTTGTAAAAAGCCATTTTCTATGATATTTGTCGCCATCTGTTGCCTCATTAGGAAGTGATTCCAGATTGTTGTACTCTTCACAAACGATTTATATTACATAAGTTTCGTCGTCAAAACACTAGAAGTAATAGAAAGTTTTCTAAAAGTACTGCAGTAAAATCAAAACAATTTGTAGTCAAAATAAACAGAAATTTTAGCAATTTTACAGATCATTAAAAACAGCTACTTAAGAATACAATTTTGTATAGTTTTTGAATTACTTAGAATAAATAACATATCAAATAGTTATTCATGTTTTTAGCATATGTTAGAGTTAAGCAGACAAAATTAAGGAAATTTCAAACACTTATTTCATTTTATGTTCTCATAGCAGCTTTACAACCACTGCTCTCTATGAAGTCACCACCAGTTTCTCACATGATATCACCATCATAAGACTGTACTTTAATTTGACCTTGCAGCGTCAGTAATCCTATATCACATCCTAGCAATGTTTTTACGATTCTGTAAGACTCTTATAGTGGATCACTATATTCTCTCTACAGCAATATCAATTTTAAGTGTGTTTTTTCTAACCACATGTGCTCTCATTCCGAAATAGAAAAAAAAATATACAAAATTACAAATTAAACGACAATTAAGCAGGGCACGATGGATCGGATTCTCCTCCATCATCACCTAATGGGCGAAAACGTTTTTCTACATGTCCTCGACAATGATCTGTTTCACAATCCTGAAATACCAAACACAAATGGTTCGTAAATGCAATACACTAGGATTACTTCCATAAACAACAATTTTCAGTATAGGTCTCCGCATACAAAATACTCTCCGATGAGCTAAGGATTTCGAAATATCGCTTTTCAACAAGTGTTATTCATATAGGCTGTTGAGCAATATTTGAGAGTGTACTGCATAAATAAATTTAATTATATAAAGCATTTCACCGCAAAAGATAACCACTCTACCAAATGGCATCGACTGGTACTGAAGATTTAAATGCCTCACAATAAGTAAACTTGGAAAAAACGTACGGAATCAGTCTCGCTGTCAGAACTTTCATCCCATTTTTTCGATTTTTTGTAAATACAGCAACATTTCGACTTACATCTACCCAAGAATTCATTATCTATTGTATCTGCAGACCAGCGTACACTATAAAAAAAATTGTTTTAACATTATGAAGAATCAATTTCGTGCTTGGATGTGCTGAAAACTAGAGAAACTGACTTCAGTCATTCACTTAAATGCAGATAGAGGTCAATAACGACACTACACAACAAAGGTGAAATAATAGATGTAAATAAATAAAACGCATAATGTCCTCCATCCTTTAATTTGATCTCAAAGTTTATTTCCGGACCTAATGGTGTAGTAAAAACAGAAAATTAGCTACCGTGGTTCACGTGACAATTCTGGAGAAAGGGTAAGTTGTTGCACTGCAATCTGAAAAGATAATACATATATACAGTTTCATATATACGATAAGAATGTCGTGGTTGTTGAAGCATTATTAGGTGGTAATTGCTGAAGCATTATTACTTCATTTCGATGAATTATGGAACACTCAATGGTCATGTAATAAAAATAAATTTAAAAAGTGCATTAAAATAACATCTCGTAGCAATAAAGAAATAACAACTTATACTGTAAATTATTTTTTAACAATCACACTCGTTTAGCATTAACTCCAAAATCGTTTCAAACTGTTTGATATCAAAGAACACAAGATCTTTTGAAAATGGAATAAATGTTTTGAGTGGTATTTATTTATTTATTTATTCACTAAAAAAAGAAAACTCAGCAACCAAAAAGAGGAAGAGGAAAAAGAAAGTGTACTACCGAATTAATGGTAATATCCCTAGAACTGTATACGTTTTCTACATGTAGTTCACATCGAACAAATCATTCTCACTCTCTTGTTAAGGACTAGCCTTCACAAAGTACAGAGATTAGAAAAAAAGGAGTCGACTCACTGATATCCGTAAACGGCCGACACTTAGATTATATTTTGAAACAAAGCGTCAAATGATGATGAAGCTAACCGTTGGATCGATGGGTTCTTCGACTACAGTAATTGTTGAGACATTATTACTTTGTTCATTTACACGGCTCATTTCAGTCCTGCAAACTTTTTGTTCCATGAATGCTTGTGTATATATAATAGATAAGAAGACGAAGTTTACCTCAATTCACTCTTAAAGTAGAACACCTGAGATTAGCGCAAATAACAATCCAGTCAACAAAAAAGCCATTCACCACCCCAAAGTTAACCCCCACCACAACTAACATCTCGAGAGACGGAAAGTTGCATCCTGGTCTAGTGGTTAACTTTGGGACATTAAATGTAGCTTTGAGGCTTAGTTTGCAATGAAGTATAGGCTAGAGTGTATTTGCATTGGGAGGGAATTGTCCGGTTCCTTCTCCTGTTAGACCTATAGTATATCGTTTTTTATGATGAGATAGAGATACCTCTCGAACAATTGGATTTTACAGTCTGTTTGCACCGTTTCAGTGGATATGTCTAGTGACGTGTTATTACTGTTTCCGGTCAACTTTTTTTTCTCATTCAGTATGAATTGTTTCAGGTAAGTGAAGTGAGTTGTAATTAGTGGAAATGGGAAAGATACATTATTCAAAACAACCAGAGAATAGCACAAAATCGTGTAAAGCACGTGGTTCCGATCTTCGAGTACATTTCAAGAATACGCATGAAACAGCTCAAGCTATTAAACATATGCCCCTGAAGCGTGCAATACGTTTTCTGGAAAATGTGAAAGAAAAGAAGGAGATTGTTCCATTTCGGAAATTCAATCATCGTGTTGGGCGTAAAGCACAAGCAAAAGCTTGGGGACATACACAGGGCAGATGGCCGAAAAAATCAGCTGAATTTCTGTTGCAGCTTTTGAGGTCAATAATTTTTTGGTCTTCTTTCCTTGTTTTTGAGATAGTTTGAATATATTAGTCAAGGTTCGTCAATCAAATATTATGATTCTGAGATCGTACTAAGGTCGTACACTTTTGCAGATGAATAACAATGATGAGTAAACCGAAGTACCAAAACACTAAACTTAGCGATTTATAGTGTAAAATCGCTGTCTTCATTCGAAGGGTTAGATTAAGGAGAGAAAAATTATATTTGATCACTTCCTTATTTTCGTTTTTCCAACAGTCGCACCGGGGCAGTTACTACATAGTTTTATTTTTTCTTATTTGCAATTACTTGTCCTTCTAGGAATGCGGAAAGTAATGCTGAATACAAAGGACTGGATACAGACCATCTTGTAATCGAGCACATTCAAGTGCAGCGTGCTCCCAAAGTACGTCGACGAACGTATCGTGCCCATGGCAGAATCAATCGTTAGCTTTTCTTCGATTAGAACTACTTCATTTGTAAACTTCAGTTGATGTGCTTATCGGAAATCCTCGCAACATTTCTTTATATACGTCTAAACTTATGAAACTAGTTGGTAGAGGCATTTTCAAGAGTAGTTGTTATGCTTGTTTGGCAGCCAGTTTGTCATATGGCCATTTATTACCTTCTTTTCCTGCACCATTAAGAATTTTGGAATGACTTTGGTCGTATAAATTCGACGGAATACTGCATTTTATACTCGAACATCTCATTGTAATGGAGAATACATTGCGTAATTGCAAAACTACCCACGTTCACGCTCGCTAAATTTATCAGGTTCTCAAAAAGAATTTTCAGCTTATATGTCATCTCCCTGCCATGTGGAAGTGATTTTATCGGAGAAAGAGGAAGTGGTGACAAAGCCAACAGATGATGTTGGGAAAGTAAAGAAAGAATCGAAAAAGAAGCAGCGTCGTATTCTGGCTCGTGGCGACTACTAAATCTTTTTTTTTGTTCTGTATTTGTTGTTATAAAAGTTAAACACAGACCAAGCTCTTTGCTAGACATTTCTGCAACCTAGCATAGTGAGGCGATGTTTCCAAAGCCAGTCGGGGTGTTTGGTGGAGTGCCCAAGGCAGTGAATTCTGGCTTTGTGATATTCTTACCAAGCTCCATGGTCGATACGTTGAAAGCATTATGCCATAACCTTGACTTTGCGTGGAATGACCTCGAGTGCTATGAGAAAGAAAAGGAAAGGAAGAAAAGCCTTTTTCAGCGTGAAATTCTGTGAGAAACTCCCTGTTAGCGCAGACGATTGAAGAATCAAATGTTGTGTATTCTTACAATAATTCACGGCGGTACAACCTATTGCTTTCCTGTTGTGCGAATTTTGCCTTTTAGCGGACTTCAGTTTTTTGAGGCGAAAATCAAGTGCTTAGGGAGCATAATTGTGGAACACGTTCAAGATTGCTTAAAGCCCCTTGCAGATAGTGATGCCGGTATACTACACTGTTTGGTAACGGTTAGTAGGCAATGATCCATTACTCCTAACTAGGTCATGCAGAAAAGTCAGTTGTCCTTCAAAGTCAATGGTACGATTGGGAGATAAATGAACAGCGAAAAATGGTTAAATATGACAAAGATGTAAAGTTCCAAGGTGGATATCTTGAAATGAGTAACACGACAAATCTGTTGAGCAGATTTTATTTTCAGAGTGGGAATTATAGATGAGGAAAGCGTGGGCACGAAGGACATTAATAGTGGATTTATAAACTGATCAACATAACACCCGAGAAATACCATCCTACGTGGTCAGCTCCATTATCGCATTAACAATATCATTGTCGGCTTTCTTTAATGCCTTAATAGCTCGATTACGTGATACGTTGGCTTGGGAACATACCTGAAAACAATAGTATTTAAGCCAGAAAACTTTCTCAAATCAATATTTTATTAAATCAAATGCAAATACATTTTTTTCTTGGCATTATTTATCTGCAACAGCAAGACTATCAATATATGGCCATTCGTTGAACTGAACGGACGTGCAGTCTCAACTATACACGAAACTTCCCAAAAAGGTTGTATTAATAACCGTCAAATCGTTCTATCTAAAGCCTTAACTGGTTAAGTTTTCAATAAATATCAAAAACACACTAGTTCAATGTCCTTCTCCTCAATACCAGTCGCATCGACTTCACCATCATCACCACTTTCTTCTCCCTGCTCGGTTCGAGTAACATTCATACGTCCACCTTGACCACCTAGTTGTGTGTCATTCGGCTTCAGCCTTTCTGCCGCAGCAAATCGTGCATGCTCACTTAAATCTTCAATCTACAAAATCATAAATTATCAGAAATTTAAGTTAAAGAAAGGACATGTGCTACCCACAGATATTTAACATTGCCTTACAAAGAAATACGAAAATTCAAAACGCAATGCATGCAACACTAATCAACTATGTCAGCTGCAAGAATTGGAGTGATGGATAATACTTTTCGAGAACACCCCTGACATAAAAAAACGTTGGAAAGCATAAAAAGACCGTTGGAAAGCTTAAAAAATTGGTAGGTCAAACCTCTACTGTTTTATGATCGACGTACACTCAGATAGTTACTGGGAAATGATTATGGAATCAAATGTAAGGACAAAGGATTACGAGTCCTCTTAAACTGATCCTTTGAATTTTTAAAAATCACCTTAGCTTCACCGAAAACAATGTAGGTATCAGAGCCCGGGCTCTTGTACACATCAGGTTTGTTTATCACAAAAAGAATATTTTTTGATTTCCGAATGCAAACACGAGAGACGCCATGAACTGGTTTCAGACCCAGTTTGCTGAATAATTTACGCGCCTTCTTCTCTGATCGTGACTGTTTGCTCATTTTGTCTCCAGACACCTGAAAAAACATATAGGATCCGAATAAATATATTCCTAATAATTCTTCACCGTAAACAATATTTTAAATCAGCTGGGCTGGAAAATTAGGATTTGACCATCACGGCAATAATATTTGCGAAGTGATGGAAAGAACTACCTGGTCAGCCAGTCCAGCAGCTTCCGCAACCTTCTTCTGAGCTTCCGTAACCTCACCCTCGTTTTCATCGTTTTCGTTATCTGAACCTTTTTCATCGCCAGCTTCATTTCCGGAAGAACCAGAAGATGTGTCATCAGTTGCTACCTTAATCAATATGCCGTAAATGATGCAGCAAGTAAACTTTTATTTGCGCAGTGACAATACCATTAGTAAACATTACATAAGGTCAATTGCGATAAATATAAGTGACTTGGACGCATTCAAAATGTTCCTCGATTCTAATTCTAATTTTCGCATCCGAAATATTACTTGACACTGACTGTTTTAGTAAATGATATTATTGTCTCGTTAATAGTGTCAACGTCTTTTGTATCACAGTTTTCATGACAGATAAGGTACAGATGTAAAACTGGAGATTTTAAATCAAAAACCTTTGACTACTAATCGCATTACTGCATTCTCCAAATCGTAGAAGAACTACATATCAGTTATGATTTTAGTATCTGTTGTGAAATATTCAAGCTCATTCTAGGTTAACGATCTTTAATAACTATAAATCAGTGAATCCAAATTTCTTGAACTCAAAATTTGAAAGTAAAACCTTCTTCTGTTCTTCGTCCTTCATTTGTACTGCGACATCAGCCATACTCTCAGTCGAATGTATAACCTTTTTAGGTCCCTGCAACAATTTTCCATTAGATACTTCTAAATGTATTCTTTACTAAATGACTACTGATAACAGTTCCTTAACGTCATGATATGTCATGATATGATCTATGCAATCCATGCATATGCACATATACACAAGTACACAAGCACAGATGCACATAAGCATACACACACACACACATACACACACACGAGAAAACTGAATTGTACTGCAGCACAGGTGGCTAAATGAGACCTTAATAACCGCTGATGTGATAAAACCTAGAAAAATTCATAAAAAATCCCAGTCCCGACACCGGGAGATCCCAGACCAGTGGCAACAACTTAACCCTACTCCCAAACCCGCACCGCCTGGAGAACATTCGTAGAAATCCCTCTGGACTACTGTGTGGTATGTTGTGTCACCTCGACTAGGTTTCGATGAAAATGCTTACTACCACTTCCCCAAAATCTTTGGTAGCCTAACATTTCGCTCCTTTCTTTCGAAGTTATCGAGGTATAAGGTAGTTTATTCGGTGAATATCGTTGAGTCCTTTAAATTAGTAATAATTTCGTGGGTCCTTCAAAAAGTATATTTCCTTCCGGCACTAAATATTATGATGAGAGATGAGATTACACCTGGCAGTGTTCAATTTCCTTGGATGACCTTTGACTCCACAAAAATTCCAAAAAACTCTCTTCACCAATCTCTTGATTTTCTTATGTCAAACTATTTAGATGATTTATGCACAAACTTTTAAACCTTGGATTGATTTCAAAGCCGGTTGTATTTAAACTTAGATTAGACTAACCAAGTAACAGCCAACACCTGTGGAATCATTCTAGGTTCACCTAAGGTTAATATTTTGTTCAGCGTTCAAAAATGTAGACACTATATAGTCTTAGGTTTGTTTAGTAAAAATTGTTACCACGTACTTGAAAATTGTTACTACGTATTTACTCGAAATGGATTTCTTCGTAGATCTGTATGGATAGCCTACTTGGCACTATCGGTATATTTATTAGTGGATCATAACTAGCTAGGTTCAACAAGCACACTGGCGGAATGATTGGGGAAGAGAAAAGGTCCATAAATAACCAGTCTGATAAGTGATATGTTTCACTGTGCAATAGTTCTTGATTTTCACTTGCGCTATTCCTCCTTATCATTAGTTTGGCACGTTGTCGATGGTTTTGTTTTCTTATAATAGTACTAATTCAGCGACGACTCACTATTGATGCATCTTACCACTAAAATGGTTTGATTATATTCTGGTTGTATGAAGTGTTTTTCGTATGTTTTTTGTAAACTGGTTTTCTTAACATATATGCCCTCGTTGATGGAATACATTTTAAATCATTTTATAGGAAATTTACAATGCATTGATATTCTCTTTCCTCTTCAATCTGAGCGTTTTTATCAGTGTGCCCGCTTAATCTGAGTTGTTCACTACCGACATGTCGGAATTGACCAACATTTTGAATAGATCAGCCCACAGTTCCTTGCAAGTGATTTTTTCCAATTAGAATTTTTATATTTTTGGTTTTAAATTAAAGTTTCTCGATGTTCGTGCATTTAAAAGTGATTATTTAGTGTGAATGGAAAGTGTTAGCACGTCACATCTTCAGATCTGTCTTCTTACAATCTCTTATTGATGTACCTTGGTTTTGCAGGTAATACTGGTATATATCAGGTGCAGTTCAAAAGAACGAAGTAATGTTTTGGGATGAAAAGTATTGGCTTCCTCGTGGTTTTTCCTGGGATGATCTTAAATCCAACCATACCGTTCATTATCCTGATATTTGGGAATTAACTTATGCTATGAAGTATGCTTTTGAATTTTGTTGATAATATAATTGTGTAATATTCGAAAGAAACTGTCGTTCTTTTTTTTTTCATCAGTAGTCAAACAGCTACTTACTGGTGGCTGCCAAATTTTCTGTGCCTTTTATTATCAAACTTTTTAATAATAATAAGACCATATCTCTGCTCCATTCCCATCTAGTTTGAAACAAAAGGCTTAGAACGACATCGTTTACTAATGTCAAATACACTTCTCTCAAGACTGAAAGTTTTTGTAATATTGTAATTTAAAAACTGTCTTTAAGATCCTTTCAGTTCTTTTCAATTTGAAGAAGTTAAGGAGAGGATTTTCTTTATTTAATATCTGTTTATTCAGAGAAGACATGCGCTATCAGCAGTTCTCAATATCAAGTTGAGGGATTTTTTTGACTCTGATGGCCATTTAAACTGCTACTTTAACTATGTCCACTTATTTTAACAATTTAACAGCTAAAGTGAACTTTTCAGGTATAGTCTGTTACTGTTGTTACTTAGATTTGCTGTTGAATGCTTCATATTTCTACCAATTGGTTGTTTATTCGGTTTGATTAAAGAACCGTTGAGCTTACGTATCAAAGCGCAGCTGAATTTTCGTCAAGCTAGTAAAGGGAAATTCAAACGGGTAGCAGAATGCGCATGGCGATTTCTGTTTTACATATGTATTTGGCTATACGGCATGTCTTTTTTTTCTTTTTCATTATCAGCTATTTCATCATAGGTTATATTTTTACAGCCATTATCGCCATATTTAACTATGGTAAAAATGGGTTACTTTCTTACTCCGAGAGCAAATTTGTTTATTGCTAATTTCATCAAATATTTCAGCTTGTTCTGCGCATTATCCTTTATATGTAATTTAGATTCTCTTCAGGCCTTTATGTTTTGTCTGACCAACCTCAGTTGTACGATGTTACGGAGTGTTGGCGACATTGGCCTCGTCATCCGCTTACTAGTACTGTTTGGTGGTACTACGTGATCGAAACATCATTTTATTGCTCACTTATTGTCAGGTAAATGATTAATTATTAACGACATAATAATGACAACGTCTATTTTGCTTATGCGTGTTCCATCTCTTAATAAGGGTTTCTCAATTGAAAATCTACTTGTCACAATTTACAAAAATGACTTCCTAGTATTTATTTGCAGTTCATTGTTATTTGACATTCGACGGGCTGATTTCATTCAGATGACATTTCATCACTTAATCACCGTTCTCCTTCTTCTACTAAGTTTCGTAATGAATATGGTTCGAATTGGCACGCTGATTCTTTTTAGCCACGACATCGCTGATGTTTTCCTGTAAGTTCTCATCTTTCCTTTAAGTTTAGAAGTTCTCATCTTTTCACTGAGTTTACTACGTAGAAGATTATCCATCGATAATAGTGACAACTGATGGTATCGACTACCATTCAGCGACATAATTTTCACGCTAGATTTTATTTTGCTGTTGCTCAATTTTTGTTAATTACTTCCTGCACTCTTTAAAATAATCGCAAATAAGAACTGGAGTCCATGTAAGTAACTTATGTTTTGATTCATCACCAAGATATGGAATCACTTATTGAACTATTTTTTTTATCCAACATTACCGTATTTTTCCAGCGAACTGGGCAAGCTATGTCGATATGCTGGTTGGAAAACGATTTTAACATGCGTTTTTGTAACGTTCATGATAGTATGGATTGTCACGCGGCTCATTTACTTTCCATTTGTTATTATTCGGTCAGTACTATTCGATGCTCCCGTTTTAATACAGGTAGGAGAAATAACTCTTTACTTTTGTGTCGTTGATCCGATAAGTAGTTTATTTCGCTATTTTTTATTCTTATTCTGTATTCAAAACGATGGCTGTCCTCGTAATTTGGGTTATATATTTCCACATAAATTTAATCTTTGGATGTAAACGGAATGTATATTTCTCACTCATTTTTTGAATATACATGTTTTTCGGTAGCAAATGAAGGATCGTAATTGATTGCCACTACCGTACATGAAGTTGCTGTATTAATTAGAATTTCACCAAACACAGTAAGGACTATTATGTGGTAGAATCAAAAAACATCAGGATACACCTGCTACAGATAATTAGACTTTTCAGGCGGATTATCGGTGGGAAAATATACGACAATTTCCAATAGTTCCACGATTGTTCGCTGTAATGCTACTCTGTTTACTGATTCTACATATTTATTGGACATTTATAATCATGAAGATAGCGCTTAAGTCAGTAAAGGGCAATATTGATGATATCAGGGAGGAATCAGATAATGAAACGTCTTCTACATCATCAGCTGAAAATACCGATGCAATCGGGAAAAATTATCTAAAAACGACAAAGAAAAGGCAATAATTGTTACTTACTCGGTAATAACGCCGAATGAAGGAAGTCTTTAAAATACGAGCAAATTTTACTTTTTTTCCAAACTAATTAGTTTTGTTTAGGAATTTGCATTAAAAAATATGAATTTGAGAAACCTTGATCGAGTAATGAATTAATTTTATTGGCTTTCCAGTTTTCTCATGTATTTTTTGAAATAAAATCTGTAAACCCTTATTTATTCATTTTAGCATCAATTAGAAATATAAAAGAAGTTTGGGTTGTGCAACTGTTTTTTATATCTAAATTGATTGCAAAATAGTTGCATTGGCTGACACAGCAAGTTACTAAATTTCGCCTTTTCAATTCATAAGCTTCAAAAACATAGCCTGAACTTTATATCTTCCGTCTACTGTATTTCTGAAATGAGTTGCAAATAGCTAGCATTGTGTTTTTATGCACTATTTCTCTTTGAATGAGCTAGAAATCGGTTGAAGCCTATTTTTTTTTAATGATGTCTTATAATCAACACACTTTGTAACACTGCCTTTTACTCATTTTGTTGCTTAACAATCAGCAATTTAAACAAATATTCTTAGGTGTGTCTTATTGTAATGCTGCTTTCGGTGCTGCTCATCTGCGAATGTTCATGCATTTGCCACTTACCGTTTTCTCATACAGTCATGTTTTACATATCTGTTATGAGCTTATCTTTAAGAGCATATCTGTTATGCGCTTTCAACGTATAATTGCTTATGCATCACTTTGGTATCATTAAGGAATAGTTTTAGAATATCGGTACAAAGATAGAATATAATCTAAGTTATTTCTGAAACATTTTTGAATTTGGATCCGATTCAGCACTTTGTTTGAAATTGGTTATTTTCAGCAATTTTATGGAAGATATTCTTCGCTCAAAATTTGTGGGTTTACATTTATAAGATATTGTTCATTTGTGTTGTGACTGTAATATTTGAGCCTTTTTTGTTGATTTTCAGAACTAGAAATCATTAGAGCGATGGATATCAAACATGTTTGGTCCAACCATTAATTTCGTTTTTTTTTTTCTCTTTAAATTCGTCAAGCGAAGAGAACATGCTTTTTGTTTACACTATTAAATTTTATTTCCCTGTAAGAGACTTTGAATACAGTTATGGTTGCTAT